AGGTGACAAAACACAGCACATATACCGGGGAGATTCAAAAAGTTCAAGAAAAAAATTCCATGACCTGCTTGTGAGACTGGTCCCTTCTGACAACATGCTCAAAGTACAAGAGATGAAACCTCATCATCCTTGCTTCTAAGAAGCATTCTGCTTGTACTTCTTCCAAAATAGATTTGTTTGTTCTTCTAGCAGTCCATGGTACTTTCAACATTCTCTTCCAAAACTATAATTCAAACAGATAAATTCTTCTACAGATTTCCTTATCCACTGTCCAACTTTCATATGCATATGCAGCAATTGAAAATACCATGGCTTGGGTCACGCATCCTTAGTTGTCAATGTGACATCTTTGCTCTATAACCCTTTAAAGAAGTCTTTCTCAGCAGATTTGCCCAATGCAATAACATCGTGCAATTTCTTGACTCTGCCTCCATCAACACTGATCACTGTTATTATTGTTAAGTGTCATTGAGTCAGTTCCAACCCATAGTGACATAGAAACCCATAGGGTTTCTGAGAAGTAGGTGGTGAGCTTGAACCATTGAACTCAACATTAATCATAGAACCAAGCAAAATGAAGTCTTTGACAACTTCAATCTTTTATCTGTTTATCACAATGGTACTTTTTGGTTCAGTTGTAAGGATTTTCATTTTTCACACACTGAGGTGCTGTCCATATTGAAGGATGTAATCTTTGCTATTCATCAGTAAATATTTTAAGTCCTCTTCACTTCCGGCAAGCAGGGGTGTGTCATCTGCATATTGTATGTTATTAATGAGTCTTCCTCCAATCCTGATGTCATGTTTTTCTTCAAAAAATCTAGTTTCTGAGATTATTTGTTCAGAATTCAGACTGAATAAATGCAGTGAAAAGCATACAACCCCGGCATACACCTTTCTTGATTTTAAACCACTTAGTATTCCTTGTTCTGTTCCAATGACTGCCTGTAGGTCTATGCACAAATTTCTCATGAGCACAAAGAAGTGTTCTGGAATGCCCATTCTTTGTAGTGTTATCCAGAAATTGTTATAAGCTACACATCTGAGTGCTTTTGCATAGTCAATAAACCACAGGTCAAAATCTTTCTGGTATTTTCTGCTTTCAACCAAGATCCATCTGACGTCAACAATGAGATCTCTGATTTTTTTTTTTTTTAACATAGATGAGTGAGCACCTCCTGTGCTGTATAAGTTTGTTGAAAGATTTCTCTTTGTGTTCTGCCAATTCCAGAAGTTTTGTTTTTCACCTTCAGTGCAGCTTGTATTTCTTCCTACGGTATCACTGGTTCTCGAACACACGCTACCACTTGAAATGCTTTAACATCGACCATTTCCTTTTGGTACAGTGACTCTGTATAGTCCTTCCATCTTCTTCTGATGCTTCCTGCATCATTCAATATTTTGCCCGTTGTTGTTGTTGGTAAGTGCTGTCAACTCAGTTCTGACACAATACTGTATAGGGTTTCCTGTATAGGAGCAGCTGGTAACTTTGAACCACCAACCTTTAGTTTAGCAGTCCAGTGCTTATTCTACAGCACCACACCAGAAAAATATCACAAGTCAAGGCATGAATTTGTTCTTCAGTTCTTGCAGCTTGAGCATGCTCCTTTTGGTTCCTTCCTTTTGAGTTTCTGACTCCAGGTCTTTGCACATTTCATTATTGTACTTTACTTTGTCTACTCAAACTGCCTTTTGAAATGTTCTCTTCAGCTTTTACTTCCTCATTTCTTCCCATTGTTTTAGCTTCTCTACATTCAAGAGTAAGCTTCAGGACTTCTGGCAGCATGGCATAATAGGCAAACACACTACACGAACCCCATTCAGCAAAGATGTAAGAGATCAAATAAAATAGACACAGGTGAACATTCTGGCACCTCGAGCATCAGAAGGAAGAAAAAGGAGTGGATAGAGTGCTTATTGGGAGGAGAAGCTAAGCAGGAATGGTAAGAGGGAAACTGACTGGTGAATGTCTGGACAGATGCAGCTCGACCATACTGTGAACAGCTCTGGCAACAGAAGCAGGCCTGGCAGAGCAGATTCACACAATCGTATTGCACCTTATTCCCTACCCACTCCTGCAAACAGAGGTATGGCCAGCTACCACTGTTATCCACCCACCCCCCATGTAAACCCTGCTCTCCAGAAACTCAGAGCCACGGCAGTGTAAGGTGGGGGCTGGCCATGCTGCTTTGGTGTGTCACTTTGGTACCTGGATTCAAGTGGGCTCAGCTCCAGACCTAGGAAACCCACAGAGCCACAAATAAATGCTCAATAATATTTCAAAACACAAAGACCATTTTCTGAAATGATGCCACAATGCTAGAAATTAATAATTTTCTTAAATAAAAAAATAAAAATAAAATGCCTTCCTACCTGGAAACTTTTTAACTGGCCATAGAACGACTCTTAGATTGAAAGAGAAATACAAAAAACAAAAGTACAGAATTTTTATATATCAGATCTATGGAAGTACAGCTAAAGAGGAAAACAAAGAGTCAAAAATAAGCATTAAACAATAAAAATGAAAGAATAACCACAAAGTGAACTAAACATCAGTTTAAAAAAAAAAGAAGAAATAAAGCAAAGTAAGTAGAAAGAAGGTCAATAATGGGATTCATAAACATGGAAGCAGGAATTTATGAGTTAGAAAACAGAAGAACTAACAAGGAAATTAAACAGCTGGCATTAAGGAGGAAACGTCAACAAAAGTGATAAATCACTAGTAATACAGATAAGAAAAACAGGAGCAAGCACCTAAGAAATGACAAGGAGAAAATAATCACTAAAGAAGGGCAAGTAAAAAAACCCTGAGAGAAATATGGACAAATTAACTCAATTCACATACATTAGAAAATCTAGACAAAAAGGATACTTTCCTATAGAACAAGAAAATGTATAAAAACTGACTTATGTAGAGATAAAAAGTATAAACAAACCAATTTCTATAAATGATTTAGAAAAACTGTTCAAAGACTTAATCCACAAATAACAAAGAGATGATTTCATCAGAAAATTCTACCAAACTGTTAAATTACAGAGAAGACATTAACCATATATGTTGTTGTTGTGTGCTGTCAAATCAGTTCCAACTCATAGCAACCCTGTATAGGGTTTCCAGCAGCTGGTGGGTTTGAACTGCCAACCTTGTGGTTAGCAGTTCAGTGCTTATCCTACTTAAAATAGGAAATATAAAGAAATTACAAATTTCATTCATAAGTGATATTATTAATATGAAAAATAGCATGGGTTTTCAAGCTGTTTTATATCTATTTTTAAGGAAAAGAAAATTAATTATGTTAGTGTTATTAACAATCAAGATTTTCAATGTAAAGAATAGATATAATATAAAACTAGAAAAATTAAGTAAAATCCTATGACTTTAACTGAAATTCAAAGTATCAATATAAACTCTGGGATGCTGCATGATGTGAAACCTTCATAAATAAGAGCAGAAATCCATAGCGAATACACTTACACTGCCCACTGCCACTAAGCTGATTCTGCCTCATACCAGCCGTACAGAACAGAGGACAACTGTTCCTTTGGGTTTCTGAGACTGCAAATCTTTATGGGAGCTGACAGCCTCATCTCTCTCCCTCAGAGTGGTTGGTGGATTTGAACTGTCAACCTTGCACTTAACAGCTCAATGATTAATCTACGGCACCACCAGGACTCCTTAAAAGTGCAATACAGTGAAACTTGGAAACCATATATAGGGGTCGCTCTGAGTTGGAACCAACTCAGTGACACTTAACTATAAAATATGTCTGTTGTAGTTGCTAGAACCGAAAACACAAGCTCACTACCATCAAACTGATTCTTACCCACAGTGACCCTACAGTACAGAGAAAAACTGCTCCTTTGAGTTTCTAAGACTAGAAATCAATATTGTGAGTTGAGGGGAGGTTTACAGAGCAGAACATCAGTTTTACATTCAACAAATCATACACTTCGTTTCAGCTTAATGATTACAATCCCCTCCATGTACCTTCACTTACCCTACTTGCTCCCTGCCGTCCCACTCCTCCTACATTCCCAATGCTTTAAATCAAAATTGTCCTTGGATAACTGCTGTCCTTTAGATCTTGGATAGTTGACCATTCTATAGCTTGCATACCTCACTAGTGCTGTTGGTTCCCCATACACCTCTGTGTTACTTGGCTGCAAACTGAACCACAGCAGTGAGTTCAGTTTCAGACCTGAAGAATGACCAAGGCTCATAATCTTGGGGTTCTACCAAGACTATAACTGTTTGCAGGAACAAACAGCCTCATCTTTCTCCTGCAGAACAGCTAGCGGGTTTCAACTGGCAACCTTGCAGTTTGCAGTCCAGGGCTTATCCTACAGTGCCACCAACGTTCCTTACTGTTGCTACTGTTGTTGTTAGGTGCCACTGAGTAGGTACCGACTCATAGCGACCTCATGCTACTGTTGTTGTTGTTGTTGTTAGATGCCGTGGAGTAACTACCGACTCACAGCGACCTCATGCTACTGTTGTTGTTGTTGTTGTTAGATGCCGTGGAGTAACTACCGACTCACAGCGACCTCATGCTACTGTTGTTGTTGTTGTTGTTAGATGCCGTGGAGTCACTTCCGACTCATAGCGACCCTGTACAGGGTTTCCGAGGCTGTAAATCTTTATGGGAGCAGAAATCTCATCTTTCTCCCGCGGAACAGCTGGTAATTTTGAACTGCTGACCTTGCGGTTCACAGCCCGATTAGTAACAACTACGCTACCAGAGCTCCTAGGTGCCATCAAATCTATTTCAATTCATAGTGACTCCAGTTGACAGAGTAGAACTGCTCCAGGGAGTTTCGAGGCTTTAAGCTTTACAGGAGCACATCACCAGATCTTTCTCTTGCAGCCCACTGGGTAGGTTCAAATTGTCAACCTTTCAGTTATCAGCCAAGTGTTTAACCATAGCACCACCAGAGTTCCGATGAATAAAGTAATTGTATCAGAATGTATATTCATGAAACTCATTGATATAATGACTTACATAATGATTTTCCTGGATACAACTTTGCCTGGGGGTAACCGGGGATCATTTTTTCATCTCTGGCTCTAAGATTTTCAAGTTCATGCTTGATAATGAATTGACATTCAGCCATTGTGAGGAAATCCTCATTGTTATCTAAAATAAAGCCCAAAATTCCAATTATTTTTCTCTGTAATAATGTCAAAGAAAAAAATTAAGCAATCATATTCAAATTGCCTGGGATTATGGAAGTAATAATGTTAACAATAAACAATTAACATAAGTAGTAAACAAAATATAAAATTGATAAATACAACTTAAAACTCCTTAAATATTTTGAGAATAAAAATTTCAGTTATAAATTCATATAACGTAATTCTCCCATTACTGTAATAGTTATTACATAATACGGTATAGACATCCAAACAGCAGGCAATTGCTTAATGCCATTAAGTACCACTGAACAAAAGGTAATAAACTCTTTAATTCTAACAATATTCTTCATTGTTGTTGTTTTTTTTTGTTGTTAAGTGCTGTCGATTTGGTTCTAACCCATGATGACCCTGTCAGGGCTTCTGAGGAGCAGCTGGTGAGCTTGAACCACCGACCTTGCAGTTCAAACCAACTTTGCAGTATACTTTGTTGTTGTTGTGAAGTGCCATTGAGTCGATTCCAAGCCATAGCAACCATGTATAGGGTTTCCGGGGAGCAGCTGGTGAGCTTGAACCGCTGACCTTGGAGTTCAAACAGCTTTGCAGTCTCGTGCATTAACCCACAGCGCCACACCAGGACTCCAGTATACCAGAGAAAGGTAATTTGAGAAGCTTATACATACGGCAAAATTCCTTCAAACTCTAAAACCAAGGCCATTGCTTTCTGGAGTCAAATATACTTCCCATAAACGAGGGAGAAGGCTGTCTGGTAAGAAAATATGGTAACTCTTTGACAGGGAAATTCTCTTACATGAGGTAAAGTTCATGTTGATCATTTATTCACTAAGGTATGAAAATCCAGCAAACGAGCCTGGAGAAGTCTAATCATTTCTTATAACTGTGAAGGTCCTGGAAGGAAGCAGTTTGATTCTGAAATCAAGCTCTTACCCTGATATCACAGACACCTTGGCTGTCACAGTTCTTTCCAGGACCTCTTCTCTTCCAGACACTTCTATGTGAGCCAGAACAGAACCACTCACCCCACTGTATACTCATTTGTTATTTTTATTGCTGCTGTTGTTAAGTGCTGGGGAATGGGGAATTGGTTCTAACTCATAGTAACCCTGTATAGGGTTTCCAAGGCTATAAATCTCTGTGGGAGCAAAAAGCCTCATTGTTCTCCCTTGCAGTTGCTGATGGACTCGAACTGCCAACCTTGTGGTTCACAGTCCAGTGCTTATCCTGCAGAGCCACTCTGCTCCTATATATAGTCAGTAAGAGCTAATAATTCAGAACATGGGGACTCTAGAATATTGAATGGGATGTTTTTTCCCCATTTTAAGAATTAGAAGATTTTACTACATAAATCCAACAAATAGTCATCATTCTAAGAATTATAATACAGTAATTATTAATAAGTTACAAGTTTCCTTCTAATTTATATTTATCTATTCTGAGGTGGCAAACTAAGACTCATGGACCAGATTTGTAATAAAATATTTTTGGAACACAGTGACACACTGCATTAATGCATTGGACTGACTATACAAGGTAGATATGAATCGCAAGACTGGTGGTTCAAGCTCACCAGCCACTCCTCAGAAACCCTACACAGGGTCACTATGAGTCAGAACCGACTCAATGGCATTTAACAACAATTCTGAGGTGGCAAACTAAGACTCATGGCCCAAATTTGTAAATACAGTTTTTTTGGAACACAGTCACACTTATTTATCTACCTATTGCTTAAAGCTGCTTCAGCTCTACAATGGCAATGTTGACCAGTTACGACCGAAATCTTAAAGCTAGCATCGTCTAAAACATTTAAGACAGTCATCAAAAAATTGCTTTTGAGAAACAGATTCGGACCCAAACAACAAACTGAAGGACTTACCATCAAAACCTTTGAAGTTGTGTCGGGTTCCATAGGTGAAGGCTCTCATGGTGTGATCATTACATTCTTTTACCAAGCCCAAAGCTTCTGCCCCTAACAGCAATCTAACATTGGAAGCACCAACAAGATACAAGTTCTGATTTTCTAATGTTTCTTTCTCACATTTGTTTAACAAGGGTTTAAACAACAGCTGGGCACCTTTAAAGGGAAGATAAGCACAAGTTTAGAAAGACAAAAACATAAAAGCTTAAAAAAGGAAATCTTTTAAATACTACCTTACTATTTTGGTAAAAAGAAAATAAATTATAAAAACAATTTAAATCTTCTGAATAACTGCTAATCAAAGTAAGTTAGGGAGGGTAGTTCTTTATTGCTTCAATCTTTTTTAAAATTTTGTTGTGGCAAAATATACACAACAAAATATATGTCATTTCCAAGGTTAAAATTTGAAGACAGAGATTAAATTACATTCACTATACCGTATACCCATTCCCACTATTTCCACAAAAGTTTTTCTGAACTCACTCCCAAAAGAAACACAGTACTCCTTAAGCAGTAACTCCCCATTAATCCCATTCCCATGCCCCTAGGAACAACTAATAAATTTTTATCTCAATGCAGGTGCCTAGTCTAGGTATTTCATATAAGTGGGATCCCACGATATTGTCCTTCTGTATCTGGTTTATTTTACTCAACATGTTTTCAACGTCCATTCATGCCGCAACACTTACCAGCATTTCATTTCTCGTTATGGATGAGTAACAATTCCATCATATCATATACTGGTGTATGTGCCCTGGTGGCACAGTGGTTAAGTGCTAATTACAAGGTAGGTGGGGTTAGAACCCACCAGCCACTCTGCAGGAGACAGATGTGGGAGTCGGCTTCCATAAAGATTTACAACACTGGAACCCTATGAGGCAGTTCTACCCTGTCCTACAGGATTGCTATGAGTTAGAATTGAGTTAACGACGATGGTTTTGTTTATCCCATTTTCTGTTGATAAGACATTGAGTTGTCTCTACATTTTGGCTATTGGGAACAATGCTGCAATGAACATTAGTGATCATATGCCTGTTTAAATCATTACTTTCAATTCTTTGGGCATATGAGGAAGATTCAAAAGTTCTGGGAAAATGGACTATTTCCATGAATTTTTGAAGCCCTCTCATATACCAATGGGTGGAATTGCTGGGTCATATGGTAGTTCTATATTAACTTTTAGAAGACAAACGGATTTTCACAGCAGCTGCACCATTAACATTCCCACCAACAGCATACGAGAATTCTAATTTTTCCACATTCTTATACTTCTTTCATGTTAATTTTTTAAATAAAATTTGTTATTTTCCATTTTCCTGATAATAGCTACCCTAGGAGTCCTAGTATGGCACTATAGGATAAGCACTAGACTGCTAACTGCCAAGTCAGTGTCTTAAATTTATCAGCCGTTCCTTGGAAACTCTATGCAGGGCTATTATGAGTTGGCACTGACTTGATGACATTTAACAACAGTGGGGGTGACGTGGTATTCCACTGATTTTAATTTTGATTTGTATTTGCCTAATGACTAATGACATTGCACACCTTTTCATGTGTTTACTGACCATTTGTATATCTTTTTTTGAGAAATGTCTACTCGGGTCTTTTGCCCATTTTTTAATTAGAATGTTCATTGCTTTATTGTTGAGCTTTATAGCTATTTTTATAAATTAAAAACTGGAAAATTCAGTAGTAAGTGGCTTGTCAGTTACTCCAAACAGACATATAACTAAGAGAATAACCAACATTTATTAGCTCTAGGTATAAAATTCCAGTGAGTAAAAATATGGAGCAAAAGGGCACCATTTCTTAATACAGAAATAACTATTAATATTTGAGAAAACGAATTTGAAATAAAACATTCTAGTGGGGGAAAATATACAAATGTAATAAGCATTAGATTATCACAAATTCTTTGAACATTAATACTAAGTAATAAAAACAATGCAGTTTTTCAGTGATTATTTTCCCTGTAAATGTCTACATTCAATTAGTTATAACAATGCTTTTAAGTAAGTTTATAAAAATATTAATCAAGGATGTTATGATTTGCTATTATGTGTGTAGTTATTATTTAAAGGATTATGGAGAAAGAGGATTTTTTTCCTAATTTTTTAGAATTTCTACCTGCATATTGTTCTTGCTGTTAGGTGCCTTCAAGTCAGTTCCAGCTCTTATCAACCCTATGGAATGCTGCCCAGTCCTGCATCATTCTCACAACTGTTATATTTGAGTGCACTGTTGCTGCCACGGTGTCAATCTATCTTGTTGGGGGTATTCCTCTTTTCACTGACCCTACACTTTACCTTGGAGGCCAGGATGGCCAAACTTCGTCTCTCATACTTCGGACATATTGTCAGGAGGGACCAGTCGCTGGAGAAGGATTACATGTTTGGTAAGGTGGAGGGTCAGAGAAAAAGAGGAAGACCCCCAATGAGATGGACTGGCCAAGTGGCAGCATCAATGGACTCAAGCGTGGCAACAATAGTGAGGTTGGCCCAGGATCAGACAGTGTTTCGTTCTGCTGTACATAAGGTCGCTATGAGTCAGTACCAACTCGATGGCACCTAACAACAACAACAACAACAACACTTTACTTTGTTCTATCTTTGTCACAAAGGTCAATTCTACTTGAGGAGGCAGCTCTTCCCCAGTTGTATTTTGAGTGCCTTACAACCTGGGGGACTCATCTTCTAGCACTTTATCAGACAAAGTTTGCTGCTCTTTATAAGGCTTTCAGTGACTAACCATTCAGAAGAGGTCTCCCTCACCTTCTTCCTAGTCTGTCTTTGTCTAGAAGCTCCACTGAAACCTGTCCACCATGGGTGACCCTGCAGGTATTTAAAATACTGGTGGCATAGCTTCCAGCATCACAGCAACACCCAAACCACCACAGTACAACAAACTGACAGGTGAGTTTTTAAAGGTACATTTATTTCTTTACTATTTACTCTTTAGAGAAAGCGGACAAGAATTATAAATATGCTAATGGGAGCATGCTGGTGTGGTGCCTTAAGATAAGCACTCAACCTCAAGCTCACTTCGAGCTTTAAACTCACCAGTTGCTCCTCAGAAACCCTATACAGGGTTGCTATGAGTCGGAACTGACTCAACGGTACTTAACATCAACACCTTGACAAAGGACTCCTGGTATAGCAGCCATGGGTTGCTAACCAGAAGGTTGGTGGTTCAAACCCAGCAGATGCGCCTCAGAAATGTTATTCAGGGTCACTTTGAGTCAAAACTGATTCAATGGCACTTACAATAACAACAACCCTGACAGAGGGCACTGGTGGTGCAGGGGTAGAATTCTCACCTTCAGGTGGGAGACTCAGGTTTGATTTCCAGTCAGTGCATCTCATGTGCAGACTCTGACTGCCAGTGGAGGCTTTCATGTTGGTATGATGCTTAACAGGTTTCAGGGGCTTCCAGAGTAAGACAGAGTAGGAAGAACGACCTGGAAATCTACTTTAATAAACATTATGGGTCACAATGGTTGATTTACAACTGGTCATGGGGATAGTGCAGAACTAGGCAGCATTTTGTTTCATTGTGCATGGGGTCACCATGAGTCAAGGGAGAACACAACAGCACAAAATCAGCACTGAGGATAACATCACTGCAGACAAAGATTGCATTTATCCTTCCCTTTGTTGTTGTGAAGTTCTGACTCATAGCAACCCTCTATCGGGTTTCTGAGGAGCAACTGGTGGGTTACAACTGCCAACCTTGTACTTCGAAATTCAGTGTTGATCCTACAGTACCACACCAGGAGTCCATCCTTCCCTTAATACTGCCTAAAGAATGCTCAATAGATACGTGCTCATTCAACAAGTATTTATAAGCACCTACTGTGGTACTCTGGTAGCATAGTGGTTACAAATCAGGCTGCGAACCTCAAGGTCAGCAGTTTGAAACTACCAGCTGTTCCACAGGAGAAAGATGAGGCTTTCTGCTCCTGTAAAGATTTACAGCCTAGGAAACCCTGTACAGGGTCACTATGAGTTGGAAACGACTCCACAGCACAAACAAAAACTATGAATCAAGTGCTGTGCTAGGCACAAAGTTTGGCACTGTGAACAAAGTCACTCATGTTACTTACAGTCTAATGGGGCCTTAGAATCTAACGTTGACTTAAATCCTCATTTCAAGCCCTAAAAAAGCAACAATAAGCAAAGGAATGGGCATGAATAAATCAAATACATCCATGAGAAAATTGTAAAACACATTCCCAAACATATATTTAAGTCACTGAACAGGACAAGGTCTGGGGTGGTATTTATTTTACTCACCTCCATCTTTCTTTTTCGCAATTATTCTATTTTTCAGCCATTCTTTGGTTTCTTCTTTGACATCCTGAGCAAGTTCTATGACGACTAAAGGTGTGAAAGAAGTCTCGCAAGTATCCAAGGCAGATAAGGTAACTTTCATCCTTGACCAACTTGCTGAATAGTAAAATAAAAGACAAAAATGACTTATTCTGGGAAAGAGGCCTGTGCTGTAGGCTGTGCTTGTGCTTTCTCTACATCACACCTAACCTTAGCTTCCAACATGAAGGAAACCTCCTTGTTACCTAGATGAGTCATGTGACCTTAGATAGGCTTAGCCAATGGTGCAAAGTACAGTTGTGAGGCAGGCCCTTAGAGGTGAAAAAAACAGCTTTATTCCCCGAGAAACTCAGAATTCCACATAGGAGACAGTCGATAAATGAAGGAAAACAGTGTGAAATGCGCTCTCACACAAGGGAAGAAAGTATTTATATAGGATGCGACACCTGAACATAATTTAGAAGAATGAATACACAGACAATGGGACATATCTTAGGAGAGAAAATAGTATTTTCCTTCAAAATAATAGTGATAAATAGCCAGTAGTTTCAGGGAAATGTAAGTGGTTAGGTATGGCTACAATATTAACCATGTGTGAGGGGAAGGGAAGATGGAAATGAGACAGTATCTCAGGTCCCTGATTACAAAGGAATTGGGCCTTGTCCTATATACAATGTTGTTGTTGTTAAGCACCAGTGAACATAGCATTGTTGTGTAGGGTTTCCTAGGAGTGGCTGGAATGTTTGAACTGCTGACCTTAAGGTTTGCAGCCCAGTACAGATTCTACAGCACCACACCAGGACTTCTATAAAAATGTTGTTGTTGTTAAGTGTTGTGGAGTCAGTTCCAACCCATAGCGACCTTGTATAGGGTTTCCAAGGAGTGGCTGGTAAGCCTGAACTATCAACCTTCTGGTTCAAACTGACTTTGCAGTCCATTGCATTAATTCACAGTGCCACACACCTATATACAATGGGAGTCACCAATTATGAGCAAGAAATTGACACAGATTTTGTGTTTGAGTATGGAGCTATTATAAGTCACAAAGGGTCAGCTTGGAGTGCAGTGGGGATGGGGCATTGGAAGCTATCAGCAGAGCTACAAAGAGTTAATAATGATCTAAACAACGACAGGAGGGTGAAAAGAGACCCAAGGTAAAACAAATCAATAAAAGCTAACATCTAGACTGAAAATAGACCAACATTGGTGAGTAATGAGTGGTCGAGTTGTATGTATGCGGACTCTCTACGGCCCCCACAGCCAGGCAGAACAACTATACAACTCCACAACATCTGTGTTGTTGTTGCTAAGTGCCATCGAGCCAGTGCCAACTGGCAATCCCAAATAGGATTTCCAAGGAATGGCTGGTGGACTTGAACCACCAACCCTGAGGCTAACAATCCCGTGCTTATCCTACAGCACCACACCAGGACCCCTAAAACTACACACTCTGAAAGTGCTACATTAGGAACACAAGTTAAAATTGTATTTACAAGACAGATTAAGGAATTCAGACACATCCTCCTGCTGAAGACAACTAAACTATATTGTTGTTGTTGTTAAGTGTCGTGGAGTCAGTTCTGACCCATGTTGTTGTTGTTGTTATTGTCAGGTACCATCGAGTTGGAACCGACTCATAGTGACCCCATGCACAGCAGAACGAAACAATGTCCGATCCTGGGCCAACCCACCACTGCTGCCATACTTGCTTGACGCCATCAATGATGCCACCTGGCTGATCCATCTCGTTGGGGTCTTCCTCTTTTTCTCTGACCCTCCATCTTACCCAGCATGACATCCTTCTCCAGTGACTGTTCCCTCCTGACAATATGTCCAAAGTATGAGAGACGAAGCTTAGCCATCCTGGCCTCCAAGGAGCACTCTGGCTGCACTTCTTCCAAAACAGATCTATTGGTTCTTTTGGCAGTCCATGACACTTTCAGTATTATCCTCCAACACCACAACTCAAAGGCATCAATTGAAAATACCATGGCTTGGGTCAGGCGCACCTTAGTCCTCAAGCTGACGTAGGTTCTGACCCATAGCGACCCTTTATAGGGTTTCCCAGGAGTGGTTGAAGAGCTTGAACCACTGACATTGTGGTTCACACAGACTTTGCAGTCCAGCACATTAACCCGCAGTGTCACACCAGGATGTACCTATATTTACATACGTGCACCTATATATAATTTTAAAAATCTGTTTGTGAGCCAAGAATGCAGTGAGGAATCCTGAAGCCCATTTCCAGAAGAAACTCAGAAAGGAAGGTCGCCACTTGGAACCAGTTTTCCCAGGGGTTGGCTCTGCCCAGTATGGGAAAGGGCAAGGAGTTAGACAGCTATCCTGTTGATCATGACGGACTAGATGACAAAACAGGAAGGAGGAAAAACACGTGCAATTGCCACACTTTGATATGAGACCCTGAAAGGCGGCACCAAAAGACCAGCCATAATAGGAATTAAACGCTAGATTCCTGGCATGGAATCTCAATTCCTGAAAGTGGATTTTGATAATCCTAAACTGCTAGAGTGCCTAGCTGTCCACAGAGCAAACACAAATTCTGTGCCTCAAAAATGTAGAACTTTTTTATGCATAAAGAAAAAAAAATAATAACCAAGCACACATAAGGAAGGAGACACATTAAAATGAATGAAATCAAAGAGAAACACCAAGCTCTAGAAACAAATACACAGTAGATCCAAATAATGAACTTAGTTGAACAAACTTCAAAATAACTATGTTCAAAGAATTAAAAGACAAGATTAAGAATTTTGGCAGAATTTTTTTTTTTTACTGGAGTCTAGAATTTTAAAATATGAGTCAAATTAAAAACCCAAAGGAGGCTTTAAGAGAAAAGTTGGCAAAGTTAAAGAGAAAATCAATGAACTATGTAAGTAGTTCAAAAGAAAATATTAAAAATAAAGCGCAGAGGTCAGAAAGGGGAAAAAACACAGAGAAGAAGGTAAGACACAAGGAGATATAAGAATTCTCAGAAGTAGGGAAGGGAGAGATTGGGGTAAAAACAGTATCTGAAAAGGGACTAATGAAGAATTTCCCAAAACCAATCAAACATATCAAGAAATATATTTAACTCTTGGTGGCACGGTGGGATAAGCACTAGGCTACTACTGCAAGGTCAGAGGTTCAAACCTATCAGATGCTCCTCAGAGAAAGATGAGGCTGTCTCCTCCTTTAAAGATTTACAGTCTCAGAAGCACTAAGAAGCAGTTCTACTCTCCTATAGGGTCACTATGAATTGAAAGCAACTCCATGGAGTGTTTGGTTGGGGATGTATAACAAGCAGGATCAATAAAAGGAAAATACTATATATATTAAAATAGTAGAAAAGCCAAATGAGAGAAAAATCTTAAAATCAATCAAAAAAATAAAAGTCAAAATACTTTCAAGGGCAACAATTAGACTGACAGTAGACTTCTCTGTAAACTCAATGGAAGCCATTTTATCTTTAAACAAAACCGTATCTTCAACATGCTGAGAGAAAATTACAGGCAATCTAGGATTATATACTCAAGTCAAAATATGTCTCAAGAATAAAGGGGAAGGAACAAACAAGATGGCAGACCGGGTGGAAGTGCAGTAAAGGAGCTCCGCCAACAACAACATAGAATACCCAACCAAGCAG